GGCCCTGGTCAGTCGTGCGGGTGGCAACCACTCGATGTGTCCCTTTCACGTCGATGTTTCTCTCTCTCTCTCTCTCTCTCTCTCTCTCTCTCTCTCTCTCTCTCTCTCCTCCTCTCTCTCCCTCCCACTCTACCTGAACAAAAAATGTCCTCGGGTGAGGAAAAAAATAAAAAAATAAAATTTAATTTAATTTATTTAAATCATTTTTAAAGACATAATTGGCATAATATTGTGTAAGTTTAAGATGTATAATATGTTGATTTGATACACTTATATAATGAGTTAGGCTTCTTAAACTCTCTTTTCAACAGTCTCATTCATAATAATATGCCCTGCAGATTCCATTTTAATGTTCTTTTCTGAACTGAATAAATATTATTTATATAGAGAGAACTAGGTGACCTGCTGTGTAATTTCAAAGCTGTTCTCTTGTGTTCTCTTTTCTATGGTTGACATGATGTTTTAAAATTTTAATTCTCAACCATTTTATTTTAGTTTATTCTTTTTTGCTCTGAATCTCTTAATGAGAAAATAGAAAAATTTGGATAAGTTTTTTTTTCTCTAACAATATTGTATTATATATATTTTTTTGTTTTTCCATTTTTATTTTAAAAGATTTTGGGGGAGCAGTTCTCAGTGAACATTTATTAAATTAATGCATGTTTTATAAGTGAGGAACCTGAGGCACATAAAGGTTAGGAAACTTGTCCAAGGTCACACTTTTAGTAAACACTGGAGTCATGCTATGAACCCAGGTTGTCTAATTTTAGAGCACATTCTTTTAACTTGGATACTCTATTCTTTTACGTGAAACAAAAGACAGTCCAACATACTACACACACCTTCGTGATACATTTGGCAAGGAGGGTAGATAGGAAGGTCTTACAAAAACTGTTCTCCATTGAGTACTCTTGTCTTCTCTCTACGGCTTGTTCTAGAGTAGTGTTTGTTCCCCAACCATTTTCAATATAAGGTGGGGTGGGGAAGCTACAGAGGAATCAGTAAACAATTCACATTTTCTAAACTCTCTAACTACTGGCATAGGAAAGCCTTTTATTTTTAGCTCAATTTGTTATTTTCTGACTTAGAAATGGTAATAATTAGTCACTTTTTTCATTTAAGTTCTTTGTGTGTTTTAGGACATTTTCATATTCTTTACAGTTTTATTAGGTACAATGACAGACAATAAAGTGCATATAAATAAAATGTACAGTTTGATAAGTTTTGACATTTATGTACACCATGAAAACTTCACCAGAGTCAAGGTAATGAACATGTACATTATCCCCAAAAGTTTCTTGTGGCCCTTTGCAATCCTTCCTTCCCCCAGGCAACCACTAATCTACTGTTATTATAGTTTAGTTTGTGTATTCTATCTAGGATTCTATAAATGACATGATACAATATATATGAGTATTTTTTGGCTTCTTTCACTTGGTATAATTATTTTAAGAGTCCATGTTGTTGCATGTATAAATAAGTCATTCCTTTTTATTGCTGAGTAGTATGTCATTGTATGAATCCACCATAGTTTGTTGGTCCATTGACTTGTTGATGGCCATTTCAATTATTACCAGTTTTAGAGATTACAAATAAGGCATCAATAAACATTTATGTTCTTTGGATATATGCATTCTTCCCCCCCCCCTTTTTATTGAATTTATTGGGCATTTTTTAATTTTGGGTAAATATCTAGGAGCCTATGATTGGAATGGCTAGAACATATGGTAGGTGTAATCTTAACCTTATAAGAAGGCCCAGTATATAAAGAACTCATACAAATCAACACCAAGCAAACAAACAATTCAATTAAAAAATGGGCAGAACACCTGGACAGACACTTTTCCCAAGAAGAAATAGAAATGGCCAACAGATATATGAAAAGACGCTCAACTTCACTAGCTATTAGGAAATGCTAATCAAAACTACAGTGAGATACTACCTCACACCTGTTAGAATGGCTGTTTACAACAAGACAAATGTTAGGGAAGTTGGGGAGAAAAAGGAACCCTCATTCACTGCTGGTGGGTATGTAAACTGGTAAAGTCACCATGGAAAACAGTATGGAGGTTTCTCAAAAATTTAATAGGAAGAATATATGCACTCCTATGTTCATAGCAGCACTATTTATAAACAGCCAAGATCTGGAAAGAGCCCAAGTGTCCATCAGTAGATGAGTGGATAGAAAAGCCGTGGTACATTTACCAATGGAATACTATGCAGCTGTAAGAAAGAGACATCTCTTGCCCTTTGGGATGACATGGAGGGACCTAGAGAGTATTATGCTAAGCGAAATGAGTTAGTCAGAGAAAGGTAAGTACCACATGATCTCACTTATTTGTGGAACATAATGAACAAAAGAAGCTGTCGACCAAAAGAAATCCAGAATTATTGAAGTAGGTAACAAACGAACAAACATCAAAGGGATGGAGGGTGGGAAGGGCAGAGATAAACCAAAGAATTTATATGCATATATGCACAATCAATTGACATGGACACTAGGCTTGGGAAGGCAGGAGGAGGTGGGATTGGGAAGGAGGGGGGATGGTTTGGGAAGGAGGGAGTCAATGGGGAAAAGGGAGACATCTGTAATTTTTTCAATTAAAAAAGTAGACTTGCCATATGACCTAGCAACCCCTCCTCTGGGTATCTACCTGAAATACTTCAAAACATTTATTTGAAAAGATATGTGCACCCCTGTATGTTCATTGCAGCATTCTTCATGGTGGCTAAGATATGGGGACAACCAAAGTATTCTTTGATAGATGATTGGATAAAGAAGCTGTGCTGCATATATATAATGGAATACTACTCAATCATTAGAAGAGATGAAATACTGCCATTTGTGTCCTGGCCAGTTTGGCTCAGCAGTTGAGCGTCGGCCTTTGGACCAGAGAGTCCCGGGTTCGGTTCCCGCTAGGGGCATGTAGCACCAAAAAAAAAAAAAAGAAAGAAAGAAAGAAGGAAAGAAAGAAGGAAAGAAGGAAAGAAAGAAAGAAAGAAAGAAAGAAAGAAAGAAAGAAAGAAAGAAAGAAAGAAAGAAAGAAAGAAAGAAAGAAGGAAAGAAGGAAAGAAAGAAAGAAAGAAAACGTAATACTGCCATTTGTGACAACATGGATGGATCTCAAGAATATCATGCTAAGCAAAATAAGTCAGACAGAAAAAGTCAAGAATCATGGTTTCATTTATATGTGGGATATAAAACAAATCAACTAGTGAACAAACAAGAAAAACAAAAACTCATAGGCACAGACAACAGTATGGTAGTTACCAGAGGGAAGGGAGGTGAGGGGTAATGGAGGGTAAAGGGAGTCAAATATAGGGTGATAGAAGATTTTACTTTGGTTGGTGGGTACCAATGCAATATACAGATGATGTATCATAGAATTGTACACTGGAAACCTATGTAATTTTATTAACCAATGTCACCCCAATAAATTTAATAAAAATAAAAATAAAAAAGTGCAAACTTTTTTCTAAGTGGCTACACCATTTAACATTTCTATCAGGAGTGTATGAGTTCTAGTTCCTTCATATCCTCACCAACATTCAATGTGGTCAGTGGGTTTTTGTTGTTGTTGTTATTTTTTCAGTTTTAGCCATTGTAATAGGTATGTAGTGGTTTTCCAATATGGTTTTAGTTTGCATTTGCCTCAAGACTAATGATGTTGATCAAGTTTTCAAGGGCTTATATGCCATTTGTATGAATTATTTAATGAAGTGTCTATTTTAATCTTTTGTCAATTTTTTATTTGGGTTATTTTCTTATCACTGAGTTTTAGATTTCTTTATAAATTATGTACAGTCTTTTATCAGATGTATGACTTACAGGCATTGTCTCTCAGTCTTTGACTTGTCTTTCATCCTTATTGTAGTATCTTTCCAAGAATAGTTTTAGATATATATATATTGTTGTTGTTGTTGTTAATCTTCATCTAAGGACATTCTTCCATTGATTTTTTAGAGAAAGTAGAAGGGAAAAAGGAAAGGAGGGAGAGGGAGAGAGGAGGGGGAGAGAGAGAGAGAGAGAGAAACATGGATGTGAGAGAGATACAATGATTAGTTGACTCCCTCACAACCCCGACTAGGGCTGGGGATTGAACCTGCAACCCAGGTATGTGCCCTTGACCGGGCATTGAACCTGCGACCATCAGTCTGCAAGCCGACACTCCAACTGCTGAGCCAAATGTCCAGCGCAGTTTTACATATATTTTAAGGTCTTTTAAAAATATGTTTTTATTGATTTTTTTTTTTTTTGAGAGAGAAACATCTATGTGAGAAACATCAATTGACCGCCTCCTGCACGCCCCCTACTGGGGATAGAGCCCACAACCTGGGCACCTACCCTGATGGGGAATTGAACTGAGACCTCTCAGTCCATGGGACGATCCTCTCAACTCACTGAGCTACACCACTGGACAATTTTACACATTTTTGACGTAAATTTTATCATGGTATCAAACCAAAGAAATCTTTGCATAAATCAGGGTCACAAAGATTGTCTCTTGTGTTTATTTTTAGAAGTCTTATAATCTTAAATTTTACATTTAGGTCTATGATCAAATTTCAATTTCCTTTTTTAATGTATATATTTTAATTGATTTGAGAGAGAGAGAAACGTCAATCTGTTGCCTCCTGTCCGCATCCCAACTGGAGATCAAATCTGCAACCTGGGCCCTTAGGTCTCCTGGCTGGAAATATAGTTCTCTTTCTACTCTAGCACGAGAGTTTAGGAAACATTTAGCATGACCATCCCACATTAAAATATTTTTTTAGGTGGATCAGATCAACCTCCAGTCAAACACAGCCTGTAAAATATAACCCATACCATAAAAGTCTACTTTTAAAAATAGACATTTTAGAATAGAATTAATTAGAACTGTGTGCTCTTTACTTGAAGTTTTATAGAAAGCATGTTTTAAAATCCAATTTTGACTAATTTAGGCTTTATTGATTTATTTAAAAACAAATGTTCTGATAATACTCATTTTGTTTTTCAGGAAAGACTCTGTTTGCCTCATCATATTTTGGAAGAAAGAGGTCTTGTCAAAGTTGGTGTCACAGTTCAGGCTCTTCTTGAATTACCTACAACCAAGGCATCTCAGCTTTCTATGGCTTAATACAACATTTAAAAATCATAAGGGTATAATTTCATTTATTTGAAGTTATTTCAACTATTTCAAATTCATTAATAAGACTAATCAAAAATTTATTTAATCAAGCTTTAGTTTTTAAAAATATGTATTAAATTAAAAAAATCAAATTGATACTAAATTTAAAATATGATTTCAATTTAATACATTAAGTTCAATTCTTTAATACAGCATATACACCAGTTAATGTTTGGATAAGGTAAATTGTTTAAACCAATTTAAACAATTCTATATTTGAGTTATTCAATACACTTCTAATTCTAGTTTATACACAATTTCTTTAATTTTGTGTCCTAGTTTTCTAGAAAAAGTGAGTAGAAAATACAGAATTATGACTTTATATTAAATTCTTATAGTTGTTGCCAAAATATTTTCAGTTGTACTGTAGATTGTTTACATGTGAAGTGCCTGTGTAATTGATGACTCTAACATAGTCTTAAACATTTTTGCAATTTCTTTTTAATGTATTAATGGAATCAGTAAAACTTTAAAATGTTTTAGTAGATTTTGTAATGTCAATAATATGTGAGAATTTAAATGTGCCTCACATTGTGATATTTGTGGTTTTTTATTTAGTCCATTGCAATTTCCTTTACATTGGTTATTTCATGTTGTGTGAAAACAATATTAATATGTTTAATTTATGCTATTTAATTTTGCAAAACTTAATCATTTTTTGAAATGTATTGTTTGAAGAGTATTTTATTTCTGTATTGAAAATGTTACACAAAGCAGTAAGGTTTTTGAGAACTAGCAGAGTACTAATTATCAAGGACATTTAGAAAAAACTGCCCAAGTTTCAGTTTATATCTTGACTTTCAGGAACATTACATCAGTGTGCTGCTTTCAGTTATATTCGGATTCAGAGAGCAACATTTAAGGAATAGGTTTTTTTTTTTTTTAATCTGGCCATTTATGGACCCTGTAAATCTTATGATCCTCAACTAATATGATGTTGAGTTAAACACAGACCATTCCATAAATATTTTCATATGTATACTGTTACATAAAGTCCTTGTTTAATTTAGAAGTGGATAAATTTATGTTGGTAGTAGTGCAGGAATTTTTCAAAAACATTACTGTTATGAATAACTGTTTCCTATAGAACAACCTTAGTGTAATTACTTTTGTAGTAGCCAAGCAAGTATCATATCTTAAATATGTGATTATTTGCACTTATTACCTCTTAAAATGGATGCAACTTATTAAAAATATTGGCCTGGGTGTTTCAAAGGGTATATAGAAAAGACAAAAACTATGGTGCCAAATGGTTTAATAAGGGCTGATTTAGAAACAACTTGTAATATTTTGAATCAGTTGGCATAAAGCCATATAATTAAGTTTTAGCTTTAGAATACAGTGTTTTTTACATTCCCCAAGGGTCAGATTGGAGCTTTTAAAGAATTAAAGGTTCTTATGACTATATGGTTTAAATTTTAAATTATTAATAATTTATTGCTTTAAATATCTGAGCTAATTAGTTACTATTTTTCAGTTGGATCTAAAAAAAATCTTTATTGACATAATCTCCATAGTGAAAACTTGGGTAATAAAGGTAAAAAAAATGGCAAATAAATACTTTCATTATTAGGTTTTATTGTAGAAATTTGATAATGTAACAAATAAAGTGACCACTAAAAGCTAAAGCAATCATTCATACTGCTTTCATAGTTATCATGCTATAGGATTCCTCTTATTAATCAATCTAGATGATAATTATTTTATAAGTATTTTTCTGTTTCATGTCATTGAAATATTAGTGAAATTATAGACTATTTTCTTATTGCATTTCACATATTTGTGAGTTAATTATTGCTTTAAAGAAAAGCTATACCAGAACCTCACAGTAGCATTTTGTACAACAAAGCAAAATTCCATTTAGGATGGATCCATCTGAAGTCTATACCATGTGGTTTATTTACTATAGTGCCAAAAGGCAAAACCACTTCTAAGGCAGTTTCGCAGCATATTACCCAAGGACACATTATATCAAGGCTCTGATGTATATTTTTAGTAGTTTTTAAATAACTGTAAAATTTTTATGGTTATTATATATTTACTTCATCAGTATTGAATTAAGAATGATTATCATTATTTGAATTGGATATGTGATTTGAAGACAGTTAAGTAATCAAACTAAAATTTTTTATTAGGTCCTAAAAGTGCAGTCGATAGTTACTTCTGCTAAGTTTTATTACTGTATGGCACAAGAAAGAACTGATGTTGGATAACTTAAAATTCAAATAAAGAGTGAAAATGCATTACCATTTGTTGAATAATTATCTTTACAGAATACTAGTTTATTGACTTTTCTAACAATTTTTTTAAGAATTCAGAAATGTTTGTATTGGTCACAGATCTATCATGATTGATTTTTCTGATGCATTTAAAAATAAATGGAACCCTAAATGTGTAATACCAATGCAAACTGTGGATAAATAAAGTTGACTGAAAAAATTAATCTGAGATTTCTTTTCTCCCTCTTTACCTCTTCTGTCAACAGCATCCACTTTTTGTAGATATTTGATAGCTTGTGTCTGTGTTCTCTAGTATGGAAAAATAGACTTCAACAGGATATTCAAGTATGTAAGTTGTTTAAGAGTCTAGATTATTTATATCATGCTATTTTCAATAGATAATGTTTTCATTAAAAAGCAATAATTCCCTAGGATACCTTTTCAAAATGATGCTACCTTTATAAGCGATATTTGGCATTAAGTTGTTTGAAAACTATTGTAAGTTTATCATAGAATTTTGAATTGTCTTTAGATGCCGGTCCAATGACCAACTTGAATAATAAGGCTTTGTGGTGGTTCAAGCTTCATATTAATATCAGTTTACTGTTCAGTAACAAATGGTACTTAACATTTTTTAATAGGTCTCTGTTCTGGTTAGAGTTGGTAGCCCAGGAATGGTACAGTTATCCTCTAGCTTTTTGCCTGGCTGCTATCAGTAGATGTTACTTGAAGAGCCTTTGTCTTTCAGTTGAATGAAAAACTCCCAGGTGCTCATTGTAAGGGGATTTTCTGAGTGTGGGGCAGATGCTGGTTGTTAATGGGCCTCCATTTGCAATTCAATGGATACCAGGTGGGGTTGAATCTCCATGGGATGTGCCACAGCCTCTCCCCAGAGCCTTGAGTATGAGTAAGGTGACCAGACTCTCCTCAGAGCCCTGGTTAGGAGTAGAGTAAGGTGACCACAGTCCTGTGTGGCAGCAACTCAGCAAAAGTTCTGAGCGCCCTCCAAATCCTGAGTGTCCCCACACAGTTCCATTCCAGTCTGCCCTTCCTCTGCCAGAGCCCAAGGTAAGTGGCTATGGCTACTGAAGCGTCTGTCCGGGCTCTGCACTTTAGAGCCACTTAGGAGTTTAACCCGAGGGTGCTGCTCCCAGCTAAGGTTGCTGCCGAGCTGCCGACCATGGCCTCCCAGTCCCCCTCTAGTGCCTCCGCTGTCCTACCAGGATTGAGTCAGAGTCCCTGGTCATGTTGTCCTCCAAGCTGCTTTTCTGTTGCCTTTTCCTGACGATTTGTCTTTATTTTCGTTGTAATTCCAGTTTGGTCCTGGGAGATGATCTGTGTAGCTTCCATTCATTCTGCCGCCATTTTCGTCAAGTCCATTTTTTAAATGTTTTTAAATTGACTTTTAGAGTGAGAAGAAGGGTGAGGGAGAGAGAGAGAGAAACATCAAAGAGAGAGAAGCATCAACATCTATTGGCTGCCTTCTGTGTGCACGCTACTGGGGATTGAGCCCGCAATTGGGCATGTGCCTCAGCCAGGAATTGAACCAGCAACCTCTTGGAGCGTAGGTTGACACTCAGCCACTGAGTCATACCCACTATGCTCTTTGCCCATTTTTTCGTTGGACTGTTTGATTTCCTTGTGTTGAGTTGTATAAGTTCTTTGTATATTTTAAAAATTAACCCGTTATCATTGGTGAATATGTTCTTACATTCAGTGGGTTCTGTTTTCATTTTGTTGATCGTTTCCTTTGCTGTGCAAAGATTTTTAGTTTGATATAGTGCCATTTGTTTATTTTTTTTTCCTTTTTTTCTCTTGCCCTAGAAGATGTATTGATGAAAAGTATTGCTATGTGAGATGTCGGAGATTTTACTGCCTGTTTTCTTCTAGGATTTTCTTGATTTCATGACTTACATTTTTAAAATTTAATTTAATTTTGTTACAGATGTTTCTCCTTTTTCCTCCATTGACACCCTCCTCCCATTCCTGTGCGCCCCCCCCCCCCCCAGCATTGTTGTCTATGTCCATTGGTTATACATAAGTTCATTGGTTTATGTCTTCCCTCCCCCACCCTTCACCCCATTCTCTGATGTTTGTGAGTCTGCACCCGACTTGTATGTCTCTGGGTCTGTTTTGTTCATCACCTTGTTTTTTTCATTATATTCCATAAATAAGTGAGATCATGTGAATAAGCTAGTCAGAGAAAGACAAGTATCACATTATTTACATTTAAGTGTTTTTTCCATTTTGAGTTTATTCTTGTGTATGATGTAAGTTGGTGGTCTGATTTCATTTTTTTTTTGCATGTACCTGTCTAATTTTCCCAATATCATTTGTCAAAGAGATTGTCTTTACTCCATTGTATGATCTTGCCTCCTTTATTAAATATTAATTGACTATAAAGGTGTGTGTTGATTTCTGGGGTCTCTCTTCTGTTCCATAGATCTATATGACTGTTCTTATGCCAGTGCCCAGCTATTTTGATTGCAATGGCTTTGTAGTATAGTTTGATATTTGGTATTTTGATTCCTTCAACTTTGTTTTTGTGTTCCTCCATTTTGGCTATCATAGTGGGCTTTGGAGCCTGCCCAATTTTTCCTGTGGGTGTTGGTGTTTTGCAGTTAGTGGCTCCCTACCATCTGATGTTTGTCAGTCTTTTTTCCACTTCCATGTCTCTGTATGTATTTTATTTATCAGCTTATTTTTTTCATTATGTTCCATAAATAAGTG